ATCAAGTAGCTTTTGGAATAAAACACCAATTTTTTTAAAATTAAACACTATCTAAAGATTTGCATCGAAGCGTTTATTTTTGATAGTGATTTTAATCACTGTCAGATATCATTATACTTGATCCAACTATACCACGTCACAACTGTGCCGCGACCCCCCTGTGCTGGGTTTTTTTTTATTATCTGAATTCAAGCGTATATAATTTTTGTGATCCACAACAATTATTGTTATTTTTACAATATTGATATCATCAATGTTTTTTTTGTAATAATCTCATTAAAATTTAGCGTTATACATCGTTATTTTATAACATTATCAATAACGCATTTAATCTCTGGATGACAACACACCAGAAGAATTTGACCTTCATTATTCTTTGTTTTACTAAATAATAGCATTAGTTCCTATTTCACACCAATAATTTTTCTTTTAAATTAAAATAAAACTGTTATATATATATATTAATATGAATGCTAGATTGTATAAAAAATCACCAATTTTAGCAGTCACTGGTTTTATTCTTGTTGAATATCAGTATATAATTGCTATTGTAAAATATTTGCTACTGCTATTTGTTTTCATGATTGTGTAATTTCAATAAATTTGTTCAATAGATATAATTCTAACATAACAAAACGTCTATATAGTTAACTATTATACAAATATTTACTTTCAAAAGTAAGTTCACCATCAAAAAGGTAATGCAAGTATCTGATTTAGGTTGATGAAAAAAAAATTTCATATGTTACATGGTGCTTTTAATTTCAAATTATCTTTGGACCACAAAAAGCGTAACTATGAACTTATTCAGAAGTTTTATAAATTTTAATTTGTTTAAAAATATGTAGTATTAAAACAAAAACATGTGATGCCTAAAATATTCATCTCAGTTCTTATAGTCTGTTCTATCTTTAATTTATAAATTTATATTGAAAAACTTCTATGAGCCAGTACTTGACCACAAACTTGCCAAATGTTAAACCAAAAAGAAAGTAATTATTAGAAATAATAAAAAATATACTTTTAATGTAGTCTACAAACGTAAAAATTGTTTAAAAAAAAGAATGATTATTGGATCAAAAGTTATAAAAGTTGTTAATTAGATCAGTTCCATTCTGTATAGCAGCAATTTTAATATTAAATTATCATACTTGAATACATCAATTTATGAAAGTAACAATCAATCATCTAATATAAAAAGAATACTCAAAAAAAGTGTTTGGCACTGGGAAGTGGTTAGAATATGACCCCCTCCATAAGTACGCCATTGATTAAGATTACGAAGATCACTGTAATATTATTACAGTATTATAATTTCAAATTAATTTTAAAATAATATATATACAAAATATAGCCAAAAATTAAATTAGATTAATTATTATTACCTATATGTCAACCAATTATATTGTTGTTTTGTACCTCCTCTAAGTACACTTATTACTTCAAAAGTAGGCCATTCATATACTATTATTAAAGGATTTGTACAATTTTCTCCAACTGATATATGATTAAGTATTGGATTCTTCTATTCATTGGCATCAAATTATAATTATTATTTTAATTCAAAAACATTTACTTACAGCTATATGACCTATTCCTCCATTACCAGCACATTTTCGAAATGATAATTTTCTTGTATTTATATCTAACATATGAATATAACTACCTGATGCATACAATACTGTATTTTCGTCTGCATTGCAAATATTAAAGATTTTGGAACAACAATCATAACCAAACGAATGACTAAAAATAATATATTAATAAATATTTTCATAACTTTAGTTTTAGAGGAAATATAAATTAATAATGAAATAAAAAATTACAGAAACGAACAAACAAAACGAATTTTAAATTTTTCAGTTGAATACGAACCGAACTATTTCATATATAAAATGATATATAAATATATATCGTATTTAACAAAACTTACATGATTTTAACTTAAGAAATCGATTACCCATAGAGAGCAAATCATCTGAATGCTTTTCTTTTTTTAATCATATGTTACATTAAACTATAATTACAACTAACTTAAATTTTAAATAACTTAGTATGAAGCAAGTATTCCACTACTATGCAAAACACTTCAAAATCGGCCATTTTAACCGAAAATTTTATGATTTTTGGTTTAATGTTTTAATGGTCGATGAATTCTAGAAATCGAGATGAAGGATAGTTTTATTTTTCATCTTAGTAGACATTGTATTAGCTTTAATTTTATTTTTATTCACGCAAAACACAAGTCCAAAAATTCATTTTTTAAATGAAGTTTTTTAAAATTGTATAAACTTTATAATGTTTCTATTTATATATTTTTTAATAATAAAATTATTATAATAGTTATTCAACTCTAATAAGATGCCTAATAAATTTTAAATATTTTAAATACTTGATTTGCTATTAAATTAAAAAATTGCATTTCCACTTTTTGAGAATTAAAATTAATTAATTACTTAGTGTTAATAATACTCCCTATATTCTAGGACAAGTTCTAAACTAAAAATTTTGGATACTTACAAAAATATTATGATATCATCATTAAGTGTGCATTGTAAACTTTTTATCGGTTTTGAAATAAAATCATTACTATTATATACTTTATTTATTATATCTTCAGAAATATTATAACTGGTTTCATCAAATGATTCAAACTCATCTATACTTTCATCGAGTTCTTGCATTTTTTTGAAAATAAAAACATATTAAAGACAAAACATATTAAAGACAAAACAATTTTTAAATAATAATTTGCAGTCAGTATGTTATGCCGTTGCTAAGTAAAAATAAGAATGGATTATTTAATCAATAACTAGAAGAGGGAGCTATGCCGTTCGTTACTCACTTTCATAATTTGTAATGATATTATTGGTTTTTATTTCTTAAATAATCAACTTAAATACATACCTCAAAATTGAACAATTTCAGTATTTGGCTCATCAATATTATATACAAATAAACGAATTGATAAGCGTAAATAAGTATGGTTAAAAATATTAAACTATTTTTTTACGCGTATCGGTTTCTCTAAAAGCTATTACTTGTGACAGGACTGTGAAGCTACATAGCTAAGTGCAAACAAATGACACCGAGTGGCTCAGAGTTAGATCATCGAAAACTTTAATTTTACATTTTTTCAGTAATCCACTTGATCAATGTACGTAGTCATTATTATAAGCACTTGCTGAGTTTCTGGCTGAATTGACCCGAATTTATAAGTATCATATGGATTTTATGAGTAAATTCTAATAAATAAATAATGATAATAGTTATAATAAATGTAACTAGAAATAAATTTGAACAAATTCCTTTCTTGTTGAATAAAGTATTCCGGCTTATGTTAATCATTAAAAAATTAATCAAAATATAAATTTTGTTGGTACATGCAAATTCTTTGGTAAAAAAATAGTTATTTTTCGTCAAATGTTTCCAAATTTGAGACGCAGGCATTATAAACATCTCCATCGAATACAGCACCCTAAGTAGCACATCATAAGACAACCCAAGATGTTAACATTTTTTTTTAACGATTTATTCGATCTTGAACAACTTCCCCCTGTCTGTAGTCTGTTTATTGTAAACCATTAAAAATGTAGTACCCCTTTCATCTCTATAATTACCAGGAATAACGTAGGCATCAAGCCATACAATGTAGAAATCCATTGGCGAAATGAATCTTTACATTGGTTCTTGATTAGTATTAGAATTCCTAGAATTATTAAACTTATTTCATTTTTTTCAATGGAATCTATACAAACTACGTTCATTACTATGAGATAAAGTAGGTATTACTTTAAAGTTGAGGACACTTTTACGGTGTATTTTCATTTTTTTTTTTTTGTGAATTGTGAAATAATGAAAAAAATTAAATTTTACGAGTTAAAGATATTATTTTAATGTTGATTAAAAAGAAATAAAATTATTTTTTGATTTTAGTTACATAACAGAACTTAAAAATACAAATTATAGACTTCTTTTGTTTTCTAAATTTTCCAATTTTAAGTCACTGCAACATTGCATCCCATTTTTTGTTCATATTTTTTTTATTTTCTAAATCAGAAAGAAGTAAACTAATTAAAAGCAAAAAATTTTACACTGTCTTTAGAAGACTTATGTAGAAAATTTAACAAATTTAAAAGTTTGAGTTGAATATTTTAAAGCTTTTATAGTATTCTGATGTTCTGCTATGGCTGCCAAAAAACATTTTTTTTTTGCAAGATGACAGTTTTTAAAGTTTTTTTTATTGACTATAATATTTGTACTCTCTATTAAACATGTTAATAGACCTAAAATAATACATTGTAGTTAATAGTAAGTCTATGCAACTACCCTTGAATATTTCTGGGACTTTGCCTAGGACACGTAGTACTAATTTCAATTAATTTAGTCACCGAATGATGGTTATACGATGTAAATAGCATTTAAAAAAAAAACACGCATTGGAATAAATAAGAATATTTAATTTAATTACGTTCTAATATTAGAACATAATTTAATAATCAAATTCATATAATGTACAATTCAATTGTAAATTTATGACATCAAACAAAAATAATTCAAATTGAAGAGTTAACCACAAATTACTTTAAAATTCAGAAATTGATGACTTATATTAAGATTTTATAATTACTGAATTAAAGTAGTACTAAAATTACTGAAACCAATATATAAAGTCTAATTAGTTGGCTCGGAAGTAGATATTCTTAGTGGCAATTTAGGAGTAAGATTACGCTTCGATGGCGGAACCAAAAATATAGGAAGTACTGGCGGAAGTTCTGATCCTTCAAGCTTGATTTTTGCTAAGTACATAGCTAGAGCGAATTCATCAGCGTCTAAAACACCATCCTTGTCAACATCGGCCATCTTCCATATTTTCGAAAGAACAGAATCTGGCAATTTTGTCTTTAGCATTTCTTCTTTAACAGCTTTAAAAAAAACAATTTTTTTAAATTATAAATTTATCTTAAGTTGTGAAATTTTGGATATTATGTAATACAGAATGCAAATGTTACTTAATATTAATATGTATAAAATAACATAATCTAAACTTTGTGTCATATATTTTGTATACCGCTACAGCTTATATACCTGATCGAATCACTTTTCCGTTATGTTTCTCAAGTTTATCAAATATCTCACTAAAAGGCTTTCTGTAATATTCAACAATCCAAACATCTTCAAATTGACCTTCATCAAATCCATGAGATTTAATATTAAATGGCGTAGTTGTGTCTTTAGCATCTGGGATCACATTACCTAAAATTGTCATAAAAATAATTCAAATTTTAGTGAAATATTTTATAATCACCAAAAAGTTTTATTAAAGATAAATTGTTCACATTAAAGTCAAAATATAGTAATATTTGTAAAAACAAAAAATTGATTTATGTAAAAACATTTATCATACCATTTTCTTAAAAAAAGCCCAACATTTTGAGTACCTGGCATAATTAAAACTGTATAAATTAATATAAATTTACGATACCAATGTATCTTATTTGAAATTTTTTTAAATTTGGGTAATACTCAATCGGTATGGGTTTTTGTGCTTAGTAAGTATCTTTATTAAAGAATATACATTTTTTATGTTATATATTAGAATGCTAGATTTTCACAATTGACTAAGAATTTTATTATATTTTTTTATATTCACGTTGCTTTTTCAAGCTCTCATGTTATTTAATAAATGATCTCAGTTTCAAAAAAGTATATCACATGATAAAGACACGAAAAAAATATTTAAAACATATTTTTTCTTAATAACTATGCTTTTCAATAATTTAAAAAATTAACACGGCCGCCGGGGATTGACGGCCGGTTATAGAAAGTGTACCTGAAATCATGTGAAAAAAAAGGCACGGTACGGGATTAGAACCCGCGACCCAAAGCGTCATATAGACAAACTTTACCGCTAGGCCACCGTGCACTAATGATTTAGTTCCCGATACACTTTCATTTAGGTTGATAACGTGATGTGCGGCTGAGGGAAACACGGTACCGTGTCAAAATATAAATTTTTAATAATATAAAATAGAAAATGTTCACTCATTAATAACATGTTTTTTTTTATGGTCATTAAACACATTGAAGATAAATTCTTTAAACAATTTGTTTTTATCTTTTATGTTTTTCATACGTTTTACAATAATATATGTTTAATTCACTTTTGGATCTATACTTTAAACATTTTTGAATCTTTAAAAAAATAAAAATTTTCCCTTATAACGGAATTTGAAGATAATATCGTCAAATTTTTGTTTTAATATTTAAATACTTACTATTTACTTCTATGTCATCCACTGATATGTTAATGTTAATTCCGTCTAATAGATTACTTGCACGATTTATTAATTTTTCATCTAAGCTTTTGAAATTTGTAAAATCTTTTTGCTTCAAAATCGTCTGTTAATTAAGCTATTAGTTAAAATTAAGCAATTGTCTATTTTTATATGATTTTTTGTGTATGTTCAAAGAAAAAACTATCTGGCAGCTTTTGGAGTAAAAATAATTCGTTTTAATTAAGCTTCTTATTGAAGCTATTTAATAATGGTGATTTTAATAAAAGTTTCTGGTTGGGTTGGGTTGCAAATTTTCCTGAAGATAATATTTTTTAATTTAAAAACAAATAGTTTCCGTGTTATATCAAACTGTATTCTTCATTTGGGTTCATTCAAATTGAACAGAACCGGATAATTCCTTCCTAGTATTCAGATCTGATCATTCCATTTAGTTTGTATAATCAGTCCGGTTGACTAGATAAATTTAAAATATACTGTTGATTTGAATGACAAAAAAGTTTTTTTTTATTAATTTTCATTTTTTTATTGTTATAAAATTTTAAATTGAATTCACATCTGTAACCTGGATTATACTTTATAATTAATTAATATTTCAATGGAATGAATCCGATATCTATACGACAAATATATCAAAATTTTTCTTAGGAACTTTATAATACATAAAGCTAATCGCAACTGGGTAAATAAACGATTTTTTTCAAAAAGGGGTTTAACAAAAAATTATTTTATTTTAGTTTAATGGAAATCAGTTTCCATTAAACATTTTTTTCCCAATAAATAAAATTATGAATTTTTTTGGGAAAGAGGAACAAGATGAAGCAACGTTAAATTAAAATACTAAGTTTAACTTGTCAAATATCTTTTAAATCTTTTACAGAGATTGTCAATGTATTTTTCTATCCCAATTTCAGCTAATTAAAATATAATTAAGCTATTTAATGAACAATCGTTCTAAAATAATCGAGCTTAAATAAAATGTATTTTATGATTAATTTAACCTAGTATACTTGACAAATATAAAGTAATAAAATTGTACCTTCAATTTTTTTATATTCGGAAAATCGCTCTCACTTAAATGTTTATACTTGTTTAATACATTTAAATAAATTTCATGTAGGTTTTCAATGATATTCTTTTGTTGATCCTTTTTATACCATAACCGAGACATGAACGTCATACGAGAACTAAGTTCACTTATAATATAGGCGTGAATCTAAAAAATAATTTTATATTAATTTGGAATTAAGACTATAGTCAGTTGTTCTTATGAACTACTCCAAACAAAATAAACATTTTTCTATTATATGAAAGTAATAAATTTTCTACTATAATTTACAATAGAAAGCAGTCATTTTTTCAAATTGATAAATGATGGCATAGTGATTTATATAATAGACACCTACAATTGCCAGTTTTGCTCGTTTTCCAATGTAGTTAAGCTTAGATACAACTGAGTTGTGTGGTAGAGACCTAATATCTTGGAACAAATCACTTTCTTCCTCGCTAAACATTCTTTAAATATATTCATTTTTAATTATTAAACGTTAATAAAATTCGGGTATTTGTATTTGTTTTAATAAAAATATTATTGCACATTATATTTAATAGAATAATTTTTTACCTCCGGTTCAAAACATTTGTGTATGGTTTATCCCAAAATGAGCCAACATATACTCTGGGAACTTCTGGACAAACAATAGTTTTTCCGAGTGCCCACATTAAAGCTCCGTGAACTCGTAGTAAAGATCTCTCACTGTAAGATTTTCAAAAGGGTAATCAACAAAAACAATATATAGTTTTAATTTTCTCAGAATACTATATCCCATTTATCGTTAAATATTGAAAAAATGATTTTTCAATTAAAATTTACAATTTATAATTTTACTAAATTTTGCAAACCATAATAAATATCAAGTTTATTGTAAGAAAAAAATATTCCTAAGAGTAGATTTTATGTCTTTTGAAAGTTAAATTGGAACATATCATTATTTTTTACTATTAAATGAGGAATGGATTAAATGAAGTTTTGAATGGTCCATAAGTTATTTTTGATCAATCAACATTTTCTTTAGACTACTTTTCATTTAATAGTAAAAAAAAAAAAATATAACAATATTATCCCAGTGAGGACTAATTTTTAAAATCACTCGTTTTATGAAAAAAAAAAATATATAATTTTAATTAAAGATGATATGTAACTTAATTGAAATAAAGTTTAAAAATTTAATTTTTATTTAAAAAAAAACCAGCACATTAAAAAACATGAAGCATCTATATAAAAAAAAAATTATATTGATTTGTTCATTTTTGAAAAAGTTATGGCAGTTTTAAGAAAAAAAAATTTTGAAAATTAGGGATTTTTAAATTTGTAATTTTTTTGGAGATTTCCCCCATTTACGGGGAACGAGGGAAATTTTTTCAATTTTTGAGGATAATGACTTCAACTAGATACGATTTGTGATCTTTTGACGTATCATTGAAAGAAATCGGTTCGGTGAGAGCTGAAAAAAAGTGGTAACAGACACAAAAAAAAAAAATACATCTTAGTAAAACCAATACCATCGCATCGAAGCTAAAAAATTAAACTATCAAGATTTATCGCAAAATACTACATTTTTTAATGATTTAAGATGTTCAAAAAAACGAGATACCCCAAAAGAACACGAAATTGAAATAACAAAGAAATAGTTATTTTTTGTCATAACTACTTTGAAATTTTAATTTTTGACAGCACATGTGTCATTTGATTAAATAAAAAAACACTTTATGACGTTACATTGAACTCAGTCGTTTGACTGAGTTCAATGCAAAGTTAAACAACCTTGCAAGTAGAGGTATTAATTAAATATTTGAAAGTGTTGATATATACTTTATAACTTCACATTTCTCATAGTGATATCTACGAGTTTTTTATTTATGCGTAGGATAATTTATAAATAAATATTTAAATAACAATAATAATTGTGGTAAACACAAAGAAATTATCTATCAAATAGAGTAGAACAGTTAAATTATACTTACTCAATGGTGTCAGCTTTATTGAGCACTATCCTTAATTTACTATCATGTACTTTAAGAATGTCTATAGCTGCCTTTAATTCGTCTGATATATCCAACTTATTGGCATCGAAAGTTAACACTACCATGTCAGAACGATCAGCAAACCAATTGAGTGCTTCATAAAAATCATATTCACGCTGGGCCCGCTGCTTCTCACCTGATAGTATTCCGGGAGTATCTACAAATGTTATGGACCGAAGAATTGGTGCCTCGTTGACAACACTGCAGTGGAGTTTTCGAAGAAACGCATTACCAAAACGTGATAGATCTTGAAATTGTTTTTCGGGATCAGCAACTAGTGCATTTCCTGGTATTGACTGTTGTCGATCACCACCCATTATAACCATAAATTTATCCGTGGTAGGTTCTGGGCCTACCCTAATACCTGGATAATCTTTTTCAATGAGGTACCTGAACAAAAATTATATTAAAAATAAGTATAATGATCAAAAATTGAGTGTTAACAGAGTATCTATTTATAATTAGCAATATAATAGTATTATTGGGTTCCAAAATTTAATGTAATGTTTCGTAGTGAAAACGTAGCCGTTATTAATAAACTATGAAGTAAAGCAGTGACTGTCACTATTTACTCACGTGTTATCATAATCTTAGTAATGTTTTAGAAGCTAAAGACACATACCTAATGAAGGAAATAAAAAGACATGATTGCATTAAACTTTTCTAACACGTATATGTCAAATCAATCAACAAACTGAAGTAGACTAATATTAAACCAATTTATTAGTTAGTCATAATAAAACAGATGAATGTTGTTCACAAGTTTTCTAATATTTGACTTTAATATTTCAAAATTAATATGACTCATCGTCGTTTATGGTTTACATACCTTATCATAGACGTTTTTCCCGTCGAATACTGTCCAACAAACAATACCATCGGTCGAGCATCAAAATCCTGATCAGATAAGGTTGGTTCATAAAATTCATGGTATAAATAACGTTTTTCCAATGGTAACAATTTTGTTTTATAAATTGACTTTAAATTATCCATTGCAGTTTTTTCTTTCATGAAACTTTTTGAATTTAAAATTGTCACACTCCGTTTATGATCTGCGCTAAATCTACTTAGTAAAAAATCAAAAAAAATTCATTTAATTGAATAAAAATTCATTCAATACAGTAAAATTTTAAAGAAATCATAATTTTGAATTGAGAAAAAGTTTAATTCCTCTGATAAAAAAATTAATTTTAATAAAAGTAATTATTTTATATCTTTTACACACCCATCAAGATAATAATAAAAAAAAATATGATTATATTGTCATAAACGTTTGTGATTATTTTATTTACCTTTATGTGCTCAGCCACCGTTTATTCAATTTTCTAAAACTAAACTTTATTTATGTCATTACACCCTTTATTTATTTAATACTTTTAATATTTAATATTTAGAGAAAATTCACAAAAATATCTATTAGAGTATTAAGTAAGCGGGAAAGACATGATTTTTACTCCCGAAATCAATAGATCCGCTTTGAAATTAACATTGGCGCCAAACAGCATAACTAGAATTTCCAACAAATTATTTCAATACTTAAAAACAACATGATAAGTAATTCCAGGATTTAAAATTAATAGTAATTTTCAAAATAATAAGTGATGAGTAAGAAATCGCTCCGTATATTTCATCAATAAGCTTCATAGTACCACACTCTCTATTCAGCAAATTAAGACAAAAATAATGTTGCTAAAATAAAAAAAAAGAGAAAATAATTACTTATTAAATAAATATTGGTACATGATCCGATTTGGTTTCACATTTTTTGTCAAATGACTACAAACAAATTTGGCAATGTTGTACATATTTTTTGAATGGAAGGTTTTTAATTTCTAATAAAAAAGTTATAAATTAATTTTATTGAAGTATAAATTTCAAACAAATGAATCAAGTTAGGTCAATATTTTAAAATTTTAAATAATAAACACATCTACTACGACAGTAACAATATCAAAAAGCCAGTATTTACTTATAGTTAATGTTATAATAATATTATGATTAACATAATATATTATATTAAGTTAAATATTATATTAGCTTCGATGCAAAGCTGAGAAGGTATTAATTTTACTGTGATGTATTTTTTTTTTGTGTCTGTCGCCTTTTTTTCTTAGTTCTTATCAGACCGAATTTGTTCAACGATACGTCATAACATCAAAAATCATATATAATTGAAGGTAAGACCATTATAAATTTAAAAAATTTTATTCGTGTTCTTTAAATGGGAGAAGTCTCCAAAAAAGTTACTATTTTTTAAATTAATAAAATTTGACATTTGTTAAACTATAAATTAAAAACAGAAAGTATATAAAAGGAAAGCTCCCATTTTCCAAAAAAATGTTCTAGCTACCAATTGTATTTTGTACAACTTCAATTTGATAATTGAATATTTGAATTTGATATGGTTGTTACCATATGGTTAAATCTGATTCTGCTTATTTAATAAAATAATTAAAGTAATTCCAGAAAATAATTTAGATATAAAAAAATGTGTAGCACAATGTTATGGTGGTGCATCAGTTATGAGCGGAGTGTATATAGATGTTCAAGAAGGAATATGCAGTAAATTATCGCACGCATTATATGTCCACTGCTATGCGCACCGTCATAATTTATGTTTATTTCAAATATTGCAAAATGTACCATTTATTGTAAATTTTTTTATTATATTGCAAGAAATGTACAAGTTTTTGATTAATGGACAAACAAGATATGAATTATTTATTAAGGCTCAAAAAGATCACAATTTACCAGTGTTACACTTAGAATGTTTAGTAGACACTAGGTGGGCTTACTGGTATAGGTCATTAAGTAAAATTATTTTAAGATATATAGAAATTATTGAAGTACTTTCTATACTTGGTAAAGAAAGTGATCAAACAACTAGGGCTACCGGAATTTTAAATGAAATGTCTTAATTTTCTTTTATTATTATGATGTTTGGGATGGAATCTCTACTTAAAGTTACACATTATGCTTCTACAGAACTTCAAAATTCAAGTATTATTTCACCAGCAGCTATTGATTTGATAAAATGTACTAGACAAAGTTTAAGTGAAATGCGGAGCGATACATTTTGGGTTGAAACTATAAAAAAAACTGAATTGATTGCTACTAAAAATGGAATTCCTATTAATCAAAGTTCAAACAGAAAGTGCTGTTTGAATAAAAAACTTAAATATTTCTTTATTGAATCATCAGTAGGGAATACTTCAAATAGTACTCTAAATAATTCTACAAATTAATTAAAAGAATTATTTTGTTCAGCAATTGATAGGTAAGTCCTATTATAACTTTAATATTTTGAATGTGTTATGATTTGAAAATTGAAATAGTGGTTTACTAATGTAACTAGGTACCTTTTATGCTTTTTGGTTGTACATTGACAATATCGCATAAATACTATAAACAAAAAATTAATTTTTAATCTTCAATACATTACATAATCTTTCTATATAATGTTTATCATATTTTTTAATACAATTTTAATGGTTAGAATGTAATTATTTATTTATTTTATAGATTTATTAATGAACTTGGCAATTGTTTTAATGATACAAACAATAATATCCTCTTAACCTGTACTTTATTTATTTCTTCGAATTCTGATTTCTTTAACTTCAAAAGTCCCTATCTTCAAGCTTTTTTGAATCATTATAGTTATTTCAAAATTAATCCTTTATTATTAGAGTTTGAATAACTTATTGTCAAAAACCTACTTTCTAAACAAAAATAATAGCCGTGAAGATAGCGTTCATGATCTTTCTTCCAAATCAAAAAATCTGTTGGAAATTCAAAACTTTTTTTCAGAGACACTAAAAATTATTTCTATTCTTATGACTCTACCTGTATCAATTGCATCTAATGAACGCATTTTTTCATCTTTAAAATACATAAAAACTTTTTTACGACTGACAATAATGATGAACGCTTCAGAAATTTGATAGGGATTGCTGTTGAAGGTGATGAAGCTTCAAAAGTTGATCTACAGAAAGCTATTGATATATTCGCAAGCATGAAATCTCGTAGATATCCTTTAACAGCTTAGTACTTTATACTTAATTTTGTGTTTGTATTTGGTTTATATCATATTATGAACTGAATATAGTTGATAATATCTTATTATTACTTACATTGTTTATTTATCTTCATTGATATATCCTATTAATGTTGACAGCAACAGCATTAGTTTTATCTTTTTTTTTCTGAGTATACAGGGTGATCGAAATCTGGTAAGACACTAATTTTCTCAGAAAATATTGAGAATTTCAAATTTTATTATAGAGAAAAAATATAAAGTTCAAAAAACTCTACAATAATATGTAGTCAAACCATTATTTTTTTCGTTCCTTCAAGGATAAAAACCCTTATTTATAATTTTCTAAAAAGGGAACCCTTATTTTGAACTTTATAATATGATAAAAAAAAAAATTACAAACAATTTTATTCTTATAATTTTTATTATCCGATTAACCGTTCGTCCGTTACAGCTTGTTAAAGTTAAGTGATTTTAGACCAAATTTCTATTGTCATTTTACTGTATTAAATACAGAAGTCATTATTTTTATTTGCTGTTGCACAACCCAAATTTTATTGATCAAGTTATGACAGATAAATTAGCTATAAAAATTTACTACGCACTAAATGAGTGATAACAATAATAGATTCAAATCGGGTTTTCGGTGTATTATTAATAGCTAAGTCTATGGTTTTGTAAGACTAAAGGCTCTAACAAAAATACCGGTTGCACTGCCAACGACACTGCAAGTATTATGAAACTTAATAAATGACAATATTTTTTCTGGAAGTCAAAATCTTTAGACAATTATAAAACGGTTATTAGGATAAAAAAAATTATAAGAACAAAATTGTTTGTCATTTTTTTTTTCTATCATATTATCAAATCAAAAATAGTGGTTCTTATTTAAAAAAATTATAAATAAACATTTTTATCCCTGAAGGGATAAAAAAAAATTTATTTAACTTCATATTATTGTAGAATTTTATAAACTTAATAATTTTTCTATTTACAAAAATTTTAAATTCTCAATAGTTTCTGAGAAAATAAGTGTCTTACCAGATTTCGATCACTCTGTATACATAGATCAAAAAGAATAATTTATTTTATTTTTTAGGGAGATTGGAAGCGATTAATTTCTGTTTTTGTCTGACTCACATACTACATAGGAGCATAGACGCGTGTTAGACAAAAACAAAAAATAACAGATTTCAATCCTCTTATTGGCGAAATGATGAATACAAAAATTTAATTATTCATTTATCATACATGCATATAATTGTCAATAATGTAATAATTCAATTATTTGAATGAATATTTTAACATAATATTTTTTAATTCTTGCTTGCAAATCTGTAAATTATCTGTTTTTTTATGTAACTACATACTTTTACTAATAATGAACCGTCTATATTGATTACTAAGTATAATAGGCTGTTAGTATAACAGTACTGTTTTGTAACTAACTTTTTTGGGAAAATATTTATATTTATAAACAAAGGTTGGTGAGGTAAGCGGTCGCTATGGATGCAACAATATTAGGGGCGATTTTGAGTAGGTTAAGGCGTATTTTTTAAAGTATCGATAATACTATGCAGTTTTTTTGTCGGTTGAGCAAAAAAGTCTTCAAAAAAAAAAAAAAAAATACACCATGAATGGGCACAGTGGGCCTATAAAAATTTTGCCCCCCCCCTAAGAAAAACTGAAACGTCCCTGATTAACTGAAACAAATTTTGAAACTATAATCAAATAAGTATAGTATAACAGGGAAGATATTAATCAAACGCTAGAGGCGTGGAGATCAGCTCTTAAAGAAAAAGGTTTAAAAATAAGTAGAAGTTTATAGAGTACGAGTTTAACAAAGGAGAAAATGAGGAAGGTGAAATAAGGTGTTCAGTGACAATAGGCGAGGATGGGATAGGAGATGTGGAAAATTTTAAGTATTTAGGATCAGTTGTGAAAAAGAGATTGGTATTGACGAGGATGAGAACGGGAGGAATAGATCACAGATCGATTATTTTATGTGGAAAAGAGAGAGCGTAAAGCGAGTAAAGGATTGTATAGTTATACCAGGCGAGAGTTTAACTATATAGCATAGGCTGATGGTAATAGAGTTGTGGTGTATCGGAAAGAGAACAAACAAAAGTAGAAGAAACACGGAAGATCAATAGAAAATCCGGTGGTGGAAATTAAAAGGGGTAAATGAAAAAGCTGTGTATGGTATTTATAGATTTGGAGAAAGCAAATGATAGAGTACCCAGAGAGGTTCTAAAGTGGGCATTAATGAGAAAAGGAGTCCCGAAATGGTACATTAGTATAATAGAGGATATGTATGATAGCACTAGGGTAAAAAATGTGGGGGAAGTAACAGAAGGTTTCCTGGTAAGAGTAGGAGTGTACCAAGGTTCTGCTTTAAACCCTTACATATTTTCTATAGTGATGGATGAAATTACAAGAGAAATACAAGGAGAGGTGTCGTGGTGCATGTTGTTTGCTGACAATATAGTGTTAATAGGAGAAAATAGGGAGGACATTAATCAAAAGTAAGAGGTGTGAAGAAAAGGGTTTATCTCTTGAAGAAAAGGGTTTAAGAACAAGTAGGAGTAAGACAGAGTATATAGAGTACCAGTTTGATAAAGGAGAACACGAGGTAGGTGAAATAAAGAGACAAGGACAATAGGCGAAGACAAGATTGGAGATATGGACAGTTTTAAGTATATAGGTCAAGTTGTGCAAAAGAGAGGGGTATTGACGAGAAAGTAGCATACAGGATTAAGTATGTGGTTGATTACAGTGGACAGAAGCGTCTGGTGTTTTATGCAATAATAGAATTCCCCAATGATAATGAAAAGTAAATTCTGTAAGACTATAATGAGATCAGCTACAATATATGTTTAATCGTGTTGGGTGGTTGACAAGAGAATACAGCAGCGGATAAGATAGCAGAGATACGAATGCTTAGATGGATGAGTGGAGTGACTAAAGAAGATAGAATAAGGAATTGACACATAAGTGAAAGTATAGTTATAGCGTTAATCGTTTATAAGATGAGAGAAAATAGACTTGGTAGTTTGATAGTTTAGTCACGTTAAGAGGAGAGATGAATGGTTAGCTATGAGAAAAGTTATAGAATGTATATTGAAAGGAGAAGAGGTAGAGGAAGACCAAAAAAGAGATGGAGAGATTAAGGCGAGAAAAATGAAGTAACGATGAATAATAAGTAAAATAAATAAAGTTTATAAACCTCAGCCGCATCAAAGCTAAAAATAAATTATTCAAGTTTTAATGCTATATATTCTCCATTCTTGTTGCATTATTAATAAACCTGCTGTTTTAATTGATTAATATTGATTAAAAAGAATTTTCGAGCTATAAAAATGCTGTTTAATTACTTTTAAATAATTTCTACCGAACATTTTTTGTTTATCTTATGCAAAAATCTTTTTAAAAGATAATTAAATTAATAACAATTTGTCATTACTTTAATAATTCCAAAGAATCGGAGGCGGTAAGAACAGTTATAGAAATGGATTTTGAAGGAAGAAGAGGTAGAGGATGACCATAAAGACATAAAAAGAGATGAATGGTTGTTATTGAATGCAATATGAAGACAGCTGATGTGAGTGTAAATGATGAGGGTAATTGTGTTAAGTGAAAGTTTAGGATAAGGGTGACCAATCCCAAGTAGTTTTGTCTAAATCGAGGAAAATGAATAAGATGATTAAATAAGTATATCAATAAGTATTATATAATTTTAGAAATTTAAACATATTTCGTTTCCTCTTGATCGTATACGTTTTATATTTATACGTTATTTTTGTCTGTTTCCAAGAATACATTATTTGTTTAATATTGAATAATCGTAATTAAAAATTTTTAATACTTTTAAAAATAACATTTGATGTCTTTCCACCTTGAACAAATAGACTTTAGGTTTAAAAAATCATATCTCGTAACATTTTATCGTGTTCTAGTCTATATTTTTTCATATTTATTACTGGAAATTTTCTACTTGTATGTCAGTTTAGCGAGCACATTAAAATTAGTTGTATTTTTAGTAATTTTAGTTATCGGTACCAATATAATAACCAATCTTTTGAAGGTAAAATTTATAAATATTAGTTTTTAAAAATGACTTGAAAAAAAAATATATTAATTTTTTAATATAAAGTTAAAGGATAAAAAAGAGCTGATTCAGTCAATTGAAAATAACTCAGATAAACTAGATGAGTATCTTCAAGCAAATAAAGACTTAGAGATTCAAAAGTCCATAGTTAAAGAGTTGTATAAAGAAGAAGTTATTACAAACGAAAAAATTAACAAGTTGGAATCCAAGAACTTATTTTTGGAAAATGAATTAAATTCTATAAATTTGAAGATTCCACGTACATGCCGTCTTGTGTATGATTACATCGAAAATATAAAAAATGTTTTAAATCTTTCAAAGGAGCAAAAAAGACAAGCTCTTTCAATTCAGACCACTTTAAATGATATTTTGTATTCACAAAATAGTACAGGTTTGTGATTTCTTAAGAAATTTTTTCCTTGTGATACAGAAGGCCACAATATTTCATAAGCTAAAATAAAATTACGGATAACCTGAAATAAAGTATTGTAAAAAAAAAATTATCTAGGTAACGTGTATTTCATGAAAAATTGAATTAATGTGATGCTTATTTTAGAAGTTGAAAGTGATATTTAAGACAATTATTATCTGAAATGTAATTTTTTGAATTTATTATCATTACATGTACATAAAGAGGACAGTGTTCTGAAACCAGATTATATTCATCTATGATTTGATTAGGTTTTTAACAAGTATTAAAAAATTGTATCTTTCATAGATGGTTCTTTTTTATCACCAAATAATGTAATTACACTTTAAATTTTTTAAAATAGACTAACAAGGATGGCAATTTTTTTCTCATCTCCTAGTATACATTTTCCAGTGATATCCATGTATAGGACAAACCTCTGATGCTATTTTTTCAGATTTTTGACAAAATTCCACAAATTGCCATTTTAGGTGGCTCTTTAAATTTTTATATGTCTATTTCTTTAGTGTTAGTCAACCAAGTTATGTTCCACTCCTCTGATTAGTATGTCCATGAAATTTTATAGTGATAGTCCATACGGTTGAGTATCCATAAGTTCCGCTAACATCTGACACCTTGTTAACGTTTTATAAGGATTTATAATTTTTCAAATTCTATATATACATAGTGATTAAATTGACTTTTAATTACCATTGATACTTTTAATATGTTTCATACAACATCTTGTTCTTTAAACTAGGTACAATCATTATGCAATTTTTCGCCTTGATAAATGATTGTATTGCATTATCCTCAAATACAGTTGACTACTATATAAATTTACAACAAGAGTTAGAAACAGTAAAAAAAAATACAATATTTAAACATAATAATACCCGGGAAATAATTGATTGTAAATATAAAGAAATAGAATTTTACGAAAAAATCAAAGATCCACAAAATTTATTTCGAACCGAAAATCTCTTGCATTTACAACAAATATTATCATCTTATCAAATTCATACACAACAAAAACTTTTAAAAGAAATAAATTGGTTTAGAACTTGCTGTTTTTCTAGAAGTTTTTTCTGTGATAAACACTTATCATATTTTAAACAAAACAAATTCCAAAAAGACATTTGCAAAAATGTAAAATTATTAAAGTATAAAAACGTATGCAAAAAATTATTAAAAAAATTAAAAAACAAAAAGAAATTGAAAAAAAAGGCACTAGCGAAAAGATATTCTCGCTCTATCCAAGTCAATTTTATGGACTTCAGTGAGGTGAATTAAAAATATTTTTTCATAATGCTGCTGATACATCAATACGATGTATACTCGTATTTATTAACTTTTATTAAATAAAATTGTTTTTCAGAAGATATCAATTCTATCACTACATGAACAATCGAAGTTAAATCCGTATAGATTCAGTAACGACTGGTAGTTAGTCATACCAAAAAATTAATTATGTACATGGTGTATGAAGAATTATTTTTTTGTTAGGTTAAGACTTGGTATGTGTGGAACACCTGGAACTAATGACTTGAAAAATGCTATCGAAAGGTTCTGGGAAAACATTAAATAGATATCTCTACAACTTTCGTTGGAAATTGAAATAATTAGAATTTAAAGGATCATAATAAATTCAATATACATTATGGTGATATATAAGTTGAAAAAGTTGACAACTGAAATATAATTGATGTACAGTTTTTATTTTTAGCGTGATAATTTGAATAAATTTTATTATTTTAATTTATCTTTTAAATGTCAAAGTTATAATTAATTAATAAATATTAATTATTACTAAATAAATAGGTAGTAATTGATAGGTAGGTAGGTAGTAATTATTTCATAAACTTTAAATTTGTACCATAAAATTTATTACATTTAGATTTAGTAAGTTAAAACTATATACATTAATTCATAAATTTAACAATAAATCTTTGAATATTTATATAAAGTAATGAAAAATGAATGTTTTTTTTACAATGAATTATATATCAGGTTACAATATCTGGCTTAAATGCAATGTTAAATAAATTTTTAGATATTCAATAATTTGAACTAAACAAAAGAATTCTAAGAAATGAGCTAGGTACCAAAAAATTAAATAAATATTTATAAATAATATTAGATTACACCTGATCTTACTCTATAGAATCGTGAGATGTTGAAAATTTATTATAAGTAAGTGAATAGTTTTTTTTATAAGTTTATTTATGAGAGTAATATTATAAAAATTGGTTCTTAGCATTGAAAAATTTGGAATATTACTAAATTGGGAACGATTGGTCATCTATGATATCCTAAAAAAATGCTACTCAAAAAAAAATCCAACCAAAGTAATTATGAATAAACCAAAAAAAATACGACAATCAAATATTATTACATACACAAATTCATTATTACATGCCCCTAATATGTTTAAACCCAGAGTAAAACCTAAGTTTGGAGAAACTGCAAATCAAAGATTCTGTAGCCGTCAAGTGAAATGCAAAATATGCCATAGTGATGAGGTACTTGTATTAGGTAAATTTTGTAAGCCAATGATTAACGATATTCAAAGTACATCTCAGCTTTCTGAATCAACTAAGTCTAGGCCTACGTTAAACAACAAATCCAGTATTGAACCCAAAACTGCTAAAATTGCATTTGAATCAAAAAATTTCACTAGTACAAAAACTAAAACACCAACCATCAATCGTAATACAGACAAAAATACCAATTCAATAACTTCTGAACAAACTGTAACAAATGAATCACATATTCATTTCAAAACAGTTTCAGACATAACATCAAAACTACTTTTATTAAAACCAAATAGTTTAAAAATAGTAGATTTCCCAAAATGTTATTCTCTACCACAGCAAAAAAGTCAACTAAATTTATATGACAAAAGAAAAATGGAAAACAATTTAAAACTAAAGGTTAAATTAAAATCTTTAGATGAAAAAAAACTCGATAAGTTATTAGAAGATAATTTTCTGTTACCATCCGATCCTAGGGTAACAAAAACGTTCTCCAATAAAACCGAAATTCTTAAAAGTTCTTCAAACTCCAGAAATCTACCTATTGAGTCCGCATCTAATTCTAAAATAATCGTCAATAATAAGAATAGAGAACCATTGTTGGAGGATTCTCCTCATCAATTATCTCAAAGTTCTATAAAATTTGAAACTTTAGCTCATCAAACAGTGGTTAATTCAAAAAAACATCAACTTGATAAAAAATTAAGACCCGCAAGTTCTAAAAAAACAGATAAATATAATGTGACAAATAAAAAAAGTAAAAGAAGCAACAACAGTAAATATAGCGAATTTAGTGACTTAAGCATTTCTGAGAAACAAAAGCAATCCAATCACCTACATCACAATACGACTATTGAAACCCAAGTATGTAATACTATATGCAGTTAAATTACAGAGTATATTGAATGGAATTACAGCCGATTGTTGTTTATATTATATTTTCATTAGGCTTGTGGGTTTATTAACATTATAAGGTGTCGGCAAGCGCGGATCCAGAACGTTTTTTTGGAGGGAGTCATTTTAGTAAATTTGGCCATGGAATACAATTTTTTTAAAAGCCCTGAACTTAAAAACAAAATGCAAGAAAAAAAATCATCTATCCCAACTATTTGTGGGGTCAGTTCTACTTAATTATTTGACAAAGATTTTTACACTGAGTGAGGACTTGACGAAACCTCATTTTGGCAAAGGGAACTAGTATGAGTACAAGTTGTATGTCACTGTGTTTAAATTCTTGTATGGTGACCCGTCAGCGAACTAACAGAAAGCATCGCAGCTGATCATTAGCGCTAAAGCGGTGACTGAATTATCCGCTACGTCATACAATGCCACATACCTTTTATTATACTATTATAATTTTACTATATAATAGAACAAGGAAAAAAACGCTTTTCTGAGAAAAATATTTAGCGTTCTCTGATTTACAAATTTTACGTATGGGTCGGTAATGCGTGTGTCTCTAAGATTCGAAGTACGAGGTTCGAATCTCGCAAGGTGGGTTTACTTTTTTCATTTTTTAATATATTTATAAAGCATTTTGCAAAATATTGTCAACACAAAATTTTTTTAATATATTAGAAATATACCTTTAATATATTGTGAGAATATTTTAAAATGTTCTGGTTGTATTCTAGAAATATTTCATTGCTATTTGGGTAGTATATACTTATAATAAACAAACGTTAACCTTATACCAAATACATTTTACTATTTTCTTTTTTTGAATTTTCCTGATATTAATAATTAAATTTTTAATATATTTTTGTAGTACCGATTCTGGTGTAATATTTTTCCTACAAAACACTTATCATACGTTGCCGTGTACTATTACCGGAATCAGTAACCTACTTATGAGGATGTTCCAAAGAGGTTTACGCGCTGAGAAAGCGTAAGGCTCATTGGGTCCCGGTTTTGAGGCAGAGCCTACTACAGAGTATTTATATACAAAGTGTTTAGTAAGAAAGGAAACAGGTTTCTATTGATCTCATTGATTGTAACAACTGACCTGTTTCTTTACTTAGTGAACACTTTTTATATAATGTACATTGTAATAGGCTCTACTTTAGAACCGGGACCCAATGAGCCTCACGCTCCCTCAGCGCGTAAGCATCTTTGGGCCGTCCTCATAAGTAGGTTACTGACTATAAAATACATATATATATATATAATACATTTAAGAATATAAATAACTGATAATATTTATAAAAATTACAGAGGCTTAGTAAAAGTGATTACCAATTGAAAGAATCGATTGAGCGAATGGAACATGAGATGAGAAGACTAAACGACATAATGGAATCATTGTTAAAAGACATAAGTAGTAGCAATAAAAATACAAAAAGTATAATTTCAAAAAATAATTATAGCGAAAAATCCAAAAATAATGATATCGACATATATAACCCAAAAAAACCTCCAGATTCTACAGAAAAATAAAATTAACAACATAAAATAAATATTTTGTATGTTTATAAAATATAATATTTCAGTATCAGTGATGCAAGTAGTGTAACATAATTTATGTAATATATATCACAGAATAGATAAGATCTTATTTATTCTTTGATTGTATTATATAAATTATATGTGTTACACTAAACAATAAATACAAATTACGTTTATAAAAAATGTTGCATCTTTTTAAAGATAAGAAAATTTTAATCTAAATTTTTTAATGGAAACCGCCACTTGTTTTTTTAGTTTAATAGTATGATAGAAAAAAATGTACAAACAATTTTAGTTTTTTCATTCTGTTCATATCTTTGTTATTCCTTGTTAAAGTTTAAAAATGTTGACAAATTTTTCATTCGTAACATACATTAATTGTCATTTTTAAAATGTGTATACGATGTTATCCATCATTCAGAAATTGTATAATATTAATTTAGGTCTATTAATTGACTCATATTCTTATATTCACACAAGTTTAGTATCGTGCAATATTAAAAGACAAGCCTAGAAAATTTTTCTTGATAAAATTCTTCTCGTCTATAATATTTTCCGTGTGTCACTTCTAATACTCGTAATCAATATCATTTTTATATTCCTAGCCACACTACTTGCTATAGTAACAAACATCCTCTACATAGTATGCTCCGTATTGCTAGACAAATAATTTATTATTTAACTCTCATAATAGGTTGGTGAATTTTCTCTTAAACTTTTATTTTCTTAATTTCCATTTGTTGTTTTTATTTTTGACACTTCTTTGTCTATGAAATTTTTAATCAGTTTTAACTGTCTGAGTGCCATATTAGCATTTTTTGTATTTGTATGATATTTCAGTATTCTTATTTAGTCATACTTTTACATTTATACCATACTTTTATTTTTATATTATTTTGTAATATTATATATTAATACAATATCCCGGATGCCGTTTATTTCAAATTAATATATAAGTACCTTAAAAATAATTTAGAGTCTATTGAAACAGATTAATGTTGTCTCCGGTATTATTAAAACCAAAATAATGAAGAATTTTCATTATAACTCCAAGTGTTTGAATAATTTTAAAACACAAATGGTTGATTATAGGAAAAAAACTTGTGGAAAAGTTTCCGGAACACTTTCAAAAGTTAAGTTGAAAAGGTTAATTTTTTGTGAAATAGTTATCATTTTGAATCTCCCCCTGTGGGCAGGTAAAGGATCAAATTTATAAAAAAATATACCAAATAATAGGTAAAAACATCATGCATCTATAAAAAAATTATATTAATTCATACATTTTTCAAAAAGTTATAGCATTATAAAGTTAAATATAGAAAAAAGAATGTTTATACAAAAATCGTATTTTTTTTATTAAATTTGATATCTGTTTTTACCGTGAAGACAAAATAAAGTCCAAAATTTTTTTTTTCAATGATAAATTATATTATATTAGCCTTAATTTAAGATATATATAAAAGTGTCAGACTTTCCGAAACACTTCCAAAAGTTAAGCTGAAAGAGTTAATTTTTTGTGAAAAAGTTGTCATTTTAAATCTTTCCTGTGGGCAGGTAAAGAGTCAGATTTATAAAAAAATATACCAAATGATAGGTAAAAACAAGAAGCATCTATATAAAAAAAAATTATAGTAATTTGTTCAATTTTTGAAAAAGTTTGGCAATTTTAAGTAAAAAAAATTGAAAAAATTAGCGATTTTTAAATTTGTAATTTTTTTGGAGATTTCACCCATTTACGGGAAACGAGGGAAATTTTTTCAATTTTTGAGGGTAATAACTTCGACTAGATACGATTTGTGATCTTTTGACGTATTGTTCATCAAAATCGGTCCAGCAAGAGCTAAGATTGAGCGTTCACAGGCACAAAAAAAAAACATCATAGTAAAATTAATACCTTCTCAGCTTCCCATCGAAGTTAAAAATTGTTTGTAATTTATAAATAAATTTACTGGTTTACAGGGAATTTTCATCCGAGAACAAAATATACTTTTCTAAACTCATTTTTACACTGATTCCAATCTGCAATTAGAGTTCTGCATGTGGCTTTTATAATAAAAATGTCCTTCTAATTAACATCGAATATATTTATGTTTGATTATTAGGTTACGTATGAATAATCGATAAATATATTCTAATTCAAATTAATTTTAAAAAGTTCTACTTTCTATATGCATTTTTAAATTTTGAACCACTCCTGTATAAAGGGAAATAGTTCCATTTAAAAAAAATATATATACAAAATGAAAAGTAAATACCTCATGTATCTATAAAAAAAATTATATCGATTTGGTCATTTTTAAAAAAGTTATGGCAGTTTTAAGTACAATAAACATCACGATAGAAGGCGATTTTTTTCATAAATATTACATTTTTTGTTCAATTTCGAGGGTCATTTGCATATAGAAGAAAAATTTCGGGACAAATAAATTTTTTTCAATTTATAGTGCGTCATTTTACCTTTAATTTTACATATGTTAAAGGACACAGTATTTCCGGAACATTTTCAAAAGTTAAGTTGAAAAAGTTCTACTTTTTATACGTATGTTTCAAGTCTTAAACCACCCCTGTATAAAGAAAAATGGTCAAATTTTAAAAAAAGTATGCCAAATAAAAGAAATAAACATGAGTATTTATAAAAAAAATTGTGTTGATACATACATTTTTCGAAAATTATAGCAATATAAACTTGAAAATATAAAATCGAAAATCAAAAATTTTAACACAAAAATAGCATGTTTTTTAACTACAGCAGCTATTTTCACATAAAAGATAAGTCGTCAGGACAAATTTTTTTTTTCATTTTATAGTACATAATATAAGCTCCAATTTGATATATGTTTAAAGGTCGCAGTATTTTTTGGAACATTTCTTCAAAAGTTAAATTAAAATAGTGAGTTTTTGTAAAAAAATCGCTATTTTAAATCTCCTCCTGTGAGCAGATTAAGTATTATATTTTCAAAAAAAATGATGTCAAATGAAAGAAAAATATCTAAGGTTTTTATATAAAAAAAATTATGTTGATTTGTTGATTTTTGAAAAAGTTATGGTAGTTTTAAGAATGAAAAGTGAAAAAAATGACAAAATTTACCAATTTTAAAAATGGTAATTTTTTTTTTGTGGATTTTCCCCATTTATGGCGGACAAGGGAAATTTTTTTAATTTTTGAGGATATTGTTTTTTCTAGATAGGATTTGTGATCTCTTGACGTATCGTTGAAAGAAATCAGTTCAGTGTGAGCTGAGAAAAACTGGTATCAGACACAAAAAAAAAAAAATCTAAACACAGAAAAATTTTATTTTTTTATTAAGGAAAAAAATTATAATGCAGTATTTTTATAATTTTACACTATGATAATTTTTTAATACAACTTTAACGTAGAAGTTGACACGATTCTGTGACGTCATTGCATAAAGCATTATGTATACAATTAGTTTTATAAATCTAAATATCACATAACAAATAATTATTTAAATAAATTATAATTTATATTGTTATACTTTGTATTTTTAATGTTTTTTAAATATAATAAAATATGTTGACTAAAACTCCATTGTGAAAATAGTAGAGTTTATAATACAACAAGTATTCATTTTATACGAATTTCTTATTCATCACTTTTTTTTCGAGTTAATGTAATCGTTTTTCAGTTTATAATTATAATGAGATATATTCACCTGATTGGCTTTTTGCAATGCATTTCGCTTTTAAAAGTAGTATCAAATCAAAACAAGTCTACTATATTCTCAAAGGTAATATGGATATATCAAGATTATGATATTAATAATAATATAATTTAAAATAATTCTATATATATTTTTCAGTAGTTATCCTATATAATAATAATAAACCATCTACGTCTATTTTCTCTCATCTTATCCATGATTGATGCTACACCTATACTCCCTCTTATATGCTCATTTCTTATCATATCTTCTCTAGTCACTCCACTCATCCAACTAAGCATTCTCATCTTTGCTACACTCATTATCTGCTCTATTCTCTTATCAATCACTCAACACTCTGTTGCATACATCAAATTTAGTCTCACTACAGTGTTATAGAACTAACTTATCAGCCTCATTGGAATTCTTTTATCGCATAACATACCAGATGATTCTCTCCATTTCACCCACCAGCGCTTAATCCCGTGTCTTACATCCTCGTCAATACCACAGCTCTTTTGCACAACTGACCTCAAATACTTAAAAATTTCCACCTCTCCAATCACATCCTCGCCTATGGTCACTGATCTCCTTATTTCATCTACCTCGTGTTCTCCTTTGTCAAACTTTACTATATATACTCTGTCTTACTCCTATTTATTCTTAAACCCTTTTCTTCAAGAGCTGATCTACACACCTCTAGCCTTTGATTAATTTCCTCCCTATTTTTTCCTATTAACACTATATCATCAGCAAACAACATGCACCACGTCACCTCTACTTCTCTAATAATTTCATCCATCACTATAGAAAATAAGTAAGGGCTTAATACAGAACCTTGATGCACTCCTACTCTTACCCGAAAACCTTCTGTTAATCCTCCTACGCTTTTTACCCTGGTACAAGTGCCATCATACATATCTTCTATTATATTATTGTACCTTTTAGGGACTCCTTTTCTCATTAATGCTCACTTTAAAACCTATAAATACCATACACAGCTTTTAACATCCTTTAACCTTTTGTTTAGTTGACATTACGTCATTGTCCTTTTGTTTATACAAATCAAACAATTAAATTAATTATTAATAACAGTAAAAGCTGTATAGTAATTTTTTTTATTTCAATTTTTAAACTTACGTTCGGTAAAACAGTTGATTGAATAAAAAAAATTATTTTACTCTGTTTAGAATGATTTCCTATATATTTGAGTTGTGCTGTTTTTTTGTCTCGCAATTTTTGCTCTCACCTTTCCTTTTATTTAAACTGTTACTCGTTGACATTTTGTATTTTTGTTCTTATATCTTAAACTTAAGTAGTCAAACTTCAAAACACTTATTATTTTTTTTTTTTACCTCTGTTAAATATGTATCACCATTTATCTAATATAAAATGTTTCAAATTAGATGTGAAGCTAAGAAGATTTACCAAATGTGTTTATTTATAAATTTAAAATTTTTTTTTTTTGTGTTTGTCACTGTTTTTACTCACTTCTCACTGCACCAATTCTCAACGATACGTTAAAAGATCACAAATCGTATTTAGTCGAAGACATTACCCTCAAAAATTGAAAAAATTTCCCTTGTTCCCCTAAATGGGAAAATTTCCAAAAATATTACAAATTTAAAAATCGCTAATTTTCGACATTTTTTCAATTTTTTTACATAAAGTTACCATTAAACTTCGCTGGATTTTTTTTACTTTATATACAAAGTATTCAAAAAGTAATGAAATAGGTGTTGTTATAATCAATGAGAACAATATAAACCCGTTTCCTTACTTACTAAATACTATATAAACCCTCTAAAATTCAACCCTCTATGCAGAGTGGTTGGCTTATCATAAACTACTAGATATCTCTCAAAATAAATACAAAACTGAAAAAAAAATTGTTGATATCTTTTGAGTTGCATAATATGCAGCTAAATGTAATTAATTATAATTATGAAAAGAATGATCGATAATAATTTTTGGACACGTATTTTGGAAGTTATTCTCATTGTATACCTAGGCGGGATGAAGAGTACAGTTGAGAAATGATTAGTGATATAAATAACAGCACTTATTCCTCACTTGCAGTCATTATTAAAAAAATTTAGTAACTCCAGTGCATGTTATTGTTAAAATAATTTTAGCATATATACATTTATGTTTTAGTTACGTAATTTAATGAAACCATCGGAATTGAGCTTGAATGAGAATGAACTGTGTACTCGACTAATGAAAAAGGTAAAATTCATTAATAAAATGTTAATAAAAGTGTTAAACTAACAAATAAATTTTAAATTGATTGAATATCTAATATTCAATATATAGAGGTACAACGAAAAAAATGCTATTCTGTATGAATTACTAAGCGTGCTCCGGTTTTTAGCGTTGTACGATTTAAGGTTTGAAATTATTACTATATTGACCCGGAGACATTCCTAAGTTCAAAAAAAAAAAAAAAATAATAATAATAATTCAATTCGTTCATTTTTTACCATTCAACGAGCTTTTTTTAAGGCTATGAGTTTGTCATGAAAATTAGGATCCCTCTATAACAACTATGCTGTATAATGTCAAATCACAGTACACAATATTTTTATCAAAATTGACTTTTTTACATAGTTCTAGGAATTATACCTTGTGGAATTTTCCTATGATTATTTTATAATATTAGCACAATTATTATAATTAGAATATTGTTAATTACATTTTACAAGATGTGTATTTAAGAGAGATAAGAGCGATTGTCTTACTTGGGTCAGCTCTACTAATATTTCATATGCCCATATCTAAAAAACCCAGCACAGGGGGGTCGCGGCACAGTGGTGACGTGGCATAGTTGGATCAAGTATAATGATATCTGACAGTGATTAAAATCACTATCAAAAAAAAACGCTTCGATGCAAATCTTTAGATAGTGTTTAATTTTAAAAAATTGGTGGATTATTCCAAAAGCTTCATAAACTGCTAGTTCCTTATTAATATCCTGATTAAGACAAAGTATGTCGAATAAAAAAGAGATTATTAGAAAATAGTATTTACCATAAAAAAATTATATTGATCAATACACTTTTCAATAAGTTATAGCATTATAATGTTAAAAATGTAAAAAATAAAATTGAGAATTTTCACACAATAATAGCATTTGGTAGCCATTTTCACCTTGAAGATAAAATAAAGTCCGAAATTTTTTTTTTCCATGATAAAGTATATTACATTAGCTTTAATTTAAGATATATATAAAAGTGTCAGACTTTCCGGAACACTTTCAAAATTTAAGTTGAAAAAGTCAATTTTTTGTGAAAAAGTTGTCATTTTGAATCCCCCCCTGTAGGCAGGTAAAAAGTCAGATTTATAAAAAAAATATACCAAATGATAGGTAAAGACATCATGCATCTACAAAAAAAAGAATTATATTGATCCATACATCTTTCGAGAAGTTATAGCATTATAAAGTTAAAAATATAAAAAAGAATTTTTTTACAAAAATCGTATTTTTTTTATTAAGTTTAATGTCTGTTTTCACCATGAAGATAAAATAAAGTCCGAAATTTTTTTTTACCATTATAAAGTATATTACATTAGCTTTAATTTAAGATATATATAAAAGTGTCAGACCTTCCGGAACATTTTCAAAATTTAAGTTAAAAAAATTAATTTTTTGTGAAAAAGTTGTCATTTTAAATCCCCCCTTGTGGGCAGGTTAAGGGTTAAATTTATGAAAAAAATATACCAAATGAAAGGTAATGATATTATGCATCTATATAAAAAAGAATTATATTGATATGTTCATTTTTGAAAAAGTTATGGCACTTTTAAGTAAAAAAAATTGAAAAAATTTCGAAAATTAGCGATTTTTAAATTTGTAATTTTTTTGGAGGTTTCCCCCTTTTACGGGGAACGAGGGAATTTTTTTCAATTTTTAAGGGTAATGTCTTCGACTAGATACGATTTGTGATCTTGTGACGTATCATTGAAAGAAATCGGTTCGGTGAGAGCTGAGAAAAAGTGGTAACAGACACAAAAAAAAAAACACATCTTAGTAAAACCAATACCTTCTCAGCTTCGCATCGAAGCTAAAATATGGCTCTAAAGACATTTTTGTGTTTGATCATCACTTTGATTTTTAAAAAAATTTTCAACAAAATGCTACAGCATGTTTACCAAAGTGAAAAAAATGAAATACCTTCCTAAAATGATTTTTGAATAATACCCTAGTAAATATTAATAATCAAATTTTTAATATATTTTTGTAACACTGATTCTAATTTAATATTTTCCTTACAAAACTCTTATCATGCCAAGTGTAGTCGAGTACTCCTATCGGAATCAGTGCCTTACTTATGAGGACGGCCCAAAGAGGCTTACACGCCAAGGGCGCGTGAGATTTTAGGGCCCTGAGTCTGGGACGGAACTCCAGCTAGACGAAGCCCAGTCTAATATACAATTAAATTAGTTTTAGCTAGTGTAAGCAAATATTTTCTGAAAATTCAATGTTTATGTTAAAAAGTTGCTAATAGCCATCAAATTTTTTTTTTTGTAAGAAAAGAACTAAAACACATTTTTTTTTTAATTTTGGAAAAGTAAAAATTTCTTTTTTCTTATTATAGTGAAATTATAGAATAAAAATATGTTCTTAACGTAGTTTTTTAAATATTAAATAATGAAAACCTTTTTTCAAGGAAAATAAACCGTCTGAATGTTTGGAGTCATTTGAAGAGGTAATTGTTACAAATAGTACAAAAAAACATATATTAATAATAACTACAATTGTTTAATATAATTATAATTTTTTCAAAAAATGATTATTGCACTTCATTATTAAGGTGTTGCGCTAAATATAAATCAGACAGTCATCCATTAGAAATAAATTATTCTTATAAATAAAAAAATTATGTAAAAAAAAAAATCAGGAAGTCTCATAAAATTAGAAAAGGCCTATTTTCATTCCTCTTTCATTAATTTATGAAATATAAAAACCAAAGATGATGGTAAGGTTGTCGACACGTATTTTATTAACCAACAGAAGAAAAAAGAAAAGTAGTTCGTTTATTAAATATCATCACAAATAATAATGACAACACAAAATATTAACAGTAATAAAATGGTATATTAAAAAATAAACCAAATAGGTATGCTAAGGTATCGGAAAAATGAAGCCAGAACGCTAGGACGTAGAAAATTTAATCATTACGTAGATATCATAAATGACCATTTAATACTCGTTAATGAGTTAGAACGCAACAATTAAAAATAATTATATAAATATGCTTCGAAACGTAGATGGTTGTCGAAACAATCGAAAACGTCAAAGTTCACGTCGAAACGCAGCAGAATATTTTATCAGCAAATGATACTTGACAGACACCCGTGGTTAGGTGACATAAAGGGTGATTGTCATATTAATAGGTGGACAACTGACGTTATAAAAAGATGTGAATGAGCAGACGCTCTCAAGCGATACTATGTCATTCTTCTTCTTAATTATTCCTCTTCTATTGAAGGTTGGAAATCATCGTGGCTATAAGATCTTTGTTCTTGGCTGTACTGAATAGTTCCTTAGTGTTGCATGGGAACCACTTTCCTAAATTTTGCAGCTAGTTTCTTCTGGGTCTTCCCCTTTTCCTCTTATCGCAATTTTTTCCCTGTATTAATAAATGTCAGATTTGATATTTCTCGCCCCTCAGCATACATCCAAAATATTGAAGCTTTCTAGATTTTATATTGTTTATTACCTCTGGTTCTTTGTTTCTTCTTCTCAAAACTTCTACGTTTGTAACTTTATTAACCCAAGATATGTTAAGAATTCTACGAAAACACCACATCTCAAATGCTTGTAATTTTTGAATATCTGCTTTCTTTAGTGTCCAAGCTTCCATTCCGTACAACAGGATAGAATATACGTGGCACATCAACATACTAGTTTTTAAACCTAAAGGTAGATCTCGGTTTTAAAAACTTTTTCTTGATCTAGAAAATGTTGATCTAGCAATTTTAATTCGACATTTGATCTCTTTTAAGTTATCCCCGTTACTATTAATCCATGTTCCAAAATACTTGTATGAATATACTCTTTCTATTATGTACTATTTCTATTATATTTTTTCCTATACTGTATCATATGTATCAATAAATATACTTTGAAACAAAAATTCTTTGTGGGAGGATTATAAAGTATTGAGGGCCTCTTATTTCTGCCTAGGGTTTCAATTAATAAAATACGATATCAGTTATTAAAATTTGTTAGTAATTAAAAGACATGTACGTGGGTATTGAACAAACTAAACATTTCAAAGTTTACGTGATTAGAAAAAATAGCTAATCAACATGTTATCATTTGTCTCATAAACTAAAATCACTATCCTCATGAGTAGTTACGGTGACATTTCTTAGATCCCTAAAACAAATATATTTTACCACATTTATTGGACCATTTTGAATACATGTGAATTGTTCATTTCAATCGTTATATTAAAAGAAAATATGCCAAACTTTCAATTGACACGGAAAACTGTTATGATTTCGGCCAAAATTAAATAAATCGTAGCCCGAAGTTTTTATTACACTGTACTTTACTTATATTTAAATATAATACTTTATTTTTTGTGAATTTTGTTGATGTAATCACGTTAGTCAAATTCTTTAAAAATATTTAAATTTTTATGTATTAACATTTCCACTTTATCCAAATTTTCCCTATCTTAAGAGAATTAGAAAACTTGTTATGAATTAGTTCTATTTTTATACTTTAATAAATAAAATTTAAATAATTAAAAGGTGGGTGATAGGGCGTATTAAATTAAAGAGCATCTTAGGTTCAAACAATGTTGAGTTATCAAATGATAAAATATCTCTATCTCACTGATTCTTATTTTTGTTTATTACATATTAAGAAGTAAAACATGCAAATAAATATTTTCACTTACCTTTATTTCCTTTCGTAGCTGTCTGAATTAATATTATAGTGATTTCTCGGTTCATACTAATACGGGTTTTATTAATAAGATTTTTGATAAATTCCTTATAGTCGATATCGACATTCTTAAATTTCATTCTGAACTTATAATATAATTATAATAATATGTCTATCTATATTCAAAATATAATCAACAAGACTGTGGTGGCCCAGTGTTTCTCAGCGTAAAACCCTGACTGGCGAGGATACAGATAACCTCGTTAATATTCTAGTATATTAAATATTATTGCAATACATCTATTACTATCCTTTATGCCAACTGCTTACACTTTACTGAGAGGTAATTGGTATAGTCCTTTATGACTGGCGGGTACACACACTGAGGATACTTCCAAGATGTAGTTTCTTACCTCACGAACTATATATTTAATAATGAACTCTACCCGGAATACTAGTTCTAGAACTGGCTATCGACGGATATAGCGCACTTGAAAAATATTCTTTTATAAATTTTAGTACTACTCTTTACCTCAACTGCCTGTATGTTTTTGGAAGTTAATTGGCATAGTCTTATCAAGCTGGCGAATACACAGGAAAATCTAATACTATTAAGACTAATTAATTCTAATCACAAATTACGCTTCTTCACATTGTTCGGTACATTTAAGGCTGTTCATAAGCAAAGGCACATTAAGTTTTATTATGAATGTACGATAATGTATAAGGCTACTATGCCTATACTAACAAAATTATGCTTCTTCACTCTTTTCATCACATTCAAGGCTGCCCAGAAATGAAGGACACAGCAATATTAATTTCTTATAAGTATATTAGATAATAATAAAAATAAATAAAACTTATTTCTGGGTAAAATATTAATAAATCATCTAAAACAATGTTCACCATTTAGGATGATATGAGAAAATTAAACTTTAATTCATTTTTATATGATTTTATTTACTTATTTTTTGTTGTCATGCTTTTCATAAATATCTACAAAATGTTTGGTAGGCGCATTGATCTGTTTTATCCATAAATTATTATAAATGATATAGGAATATTTGTCACATAATATCCCACTTTCCTAAGTTTTTATTAATTAAATATTCATACAAATTTTTAGCAAAATGATTTCGTTTTACAATTTATATCTAACCTATACTTAACATTCTCTAAACTATTCAAAATTTGTTCTTTTCAAACTTATCTATTTATTTTACATAACAAGTAGGTCTTACTATTAAGATATTTTTATATTTTTATTATATACTTATTCATTATTATTGTATAATTATTGAAGTAAATAATTAAATTCAAAAACTTTAATAAATTAAATAATTAAAAGTATAATTTAATTACTATAAAAAAAATGTTGTTTAGAGAGTCAAATTCAAAATTTCTTCATTAATAGTGAAGTATCCATCAAAATGCCTAAAGGAAAAAAATTCATACAATATAATCAAAGAAAACCTTGACATGATAAATCATTATTTTCAACCAGTAGATTTAATATGGCGAAAAAATAAATGCGTAGAACTACAATTAATATATAAAAAATTACTTAAAATTTTTGTGCCTCATAAAAATCAAAAGTTGACAATTCCAATTATAGAAGAATCAGAACAATTTGATAATGATGCAAACGGTTTCTTTAAGGCTTTATCATTTGTTCTTAGTGGATCTAAACATAATTATACACAATTGAAATCGAAGGTTCTACAGGTAATTTATTAGTCTTTATTAAGAAAATATTTAATATTTTAAAAATTACTCGCGTACTTTAGGAAGTTAAGCAAAATGAAAATATTTCCAAATGTATGGGAGAAGATAACAAAAAAGAATATCTGAAGCAAATGGATAATGACAGTATGTATTTTATTAATTAAATATTGTTCATTGAATTGTATTTTTTTTTATATAGATTTGTGTCCTACATAAACAGCTTCATATAAAAATTTATTAAAAATTTAAATATTTCAAAAGTTTTTAATTAAAATATAAAGACTGATCATATTAAAAATGTTTGTTTTACATACGTAAAATTTAATTATAAACTTGTTGAATATTTTTAAAAATTTCGCTTTCAAATTAAAAGTTAGATAAAATTATCCACTATTATATACATAAATTCGTACTATTATCGGCTAGAGAAATTGAAACCAAGTTGTCAAGGATGTCATTCGAATTCATTGAAATTTAATAGTGATACCTTACCTCTAGTTAGTATACAATAAAGTATCTATGTTATATTTGTGCTTTTGTTATAATAGATTTATATCACTGTGATTTATAAACTAACAATAAATTACAAAAAACTTTTAATTATATGTCTTTATAGATACCAAAACTTAAAAAATACAAATCATAAAAACTTAACTGTCTTATATCAGTAGCAACTGATAACAATCTGTTTTGCTTCAAAATCTCTTTATTTTACTTATAAATAATGATTAAAGTATGAATAATATCCTATAATAATTTGTTACTATATTTATACAAAGTGTTCAGTAAGGAAAATTGTTAATTGTTATAAATGAGAACAAAAGAAACCGATTTCCATATTTACTAAACACTTTATGTATTAACATATAATTTGAAACTTAATCAAACAACAATAAAATAACTATAAAAATAAATAAAAATACAATGATAGTTAACTTAACAAAAGTTCAAAAGTTAACACAATAAATTAGCATTAACATTTTTTCTGCGTAATGTAATATCATTACAATACAGGGTGATTTTTTTATCATAACCCACTCAATTACTCGCAGAATAATAATAATTTAAACCTTTTTTTGTTTTATTATCTTTAGTTACACATTATTCTTGAATTTTTAACTATGTAATACTTTTTAAGTTCATCCCTTATGCCTTGGAGGGGGGTCAACTTTGTTTTTTTAAATGGTAACACATATTTTTAATTTAATAAAATGTTTGAGTTTTTAATTTAATAGTAAATGGCATTTGAATTTTTAATATAACTTTATTAGCTTATTAGATATAAACATTTAAAGTTTCAAAATTTTGAGTTAATATACATGTATAATACACATGGGATTGTAAATACAGGTAGCTAATTGGATTTTTATGACATTGCTGTCTCAGTCACGGATTGTTTATTATCAATTATGATTATCAATAGATATACTTTCTGTATTGTCAGTTAGTGTATTTATAAACTCATAACAATGTGCCTTACTACAATTGATAATAACAATGCTGTGTACCTGCTAATATCGATGTTATAAAAAACCAATTAGCTACCTGTATTTGTAATCCCTTGTGTATTATACCTGTATATTAATTCAAAAATTTGAAACTTTAAATGATTATATCTAATAAACGAATTAAGTTATATTAAAAATTCAAATGCCATTTACTATTAAATTAAAAACTCAAACATTTTATTAAATTAAAAATATGTGTTACCATTTAAAAAAACAAAGTTGACCCCCTTCCATGGCATAAGGGATGAACTTAAAAAGTATTACATAGTTAAAAAATCAAGAATAATGTGTAACTAAAGATAATAAAAAAAAAAAATGTTTAAATTATTATTATTCTGCAAGCAATTGAGTGGGTTATGATAAAAAAATCACCCTGTATAAATAACAATCAATATTTTAAGCATTAGGGTTCTTTTACTAGTCTTCCACTATTAGTGATAGTTTTTCCAATATTACTCACTACATTTATCTTTTCTTCTTCCCTTAAACTATTAAGCTCTCTTGCGTCTTCACTATTATTACTCTATAAACAATAAAACATTTTTTTAACATTTTAAATATAATGATGAAAATGTATTTTTAGAAACGTTTAATATTAACACATTTTTCTTCATATAAAAGGGGTCATTAAAACATTGCTACATAAATTTAAAAAACCTTTTTTTAATATTTTTAAAAACATTTCATTGCTTGTAGAGTATCTATAAATTCTTGTTCAATATGAATCAAATCAGATTCATCATTCATACTGTACTACCAGTTTTTTTATTATTAATATTTTAAATAATATTAGTTATATTACTGACAATTTCATTATCATTTATACTTCGCAAACTGTATTTTCTAGTAACCATATTATTAATTTTATTTTCCACCTCTTTTTGTCTTAAAAATATACTAATTCTCCTTGTATTCTTTTCTATGATGTTTTCTAATTTGACCAAATAGAATCTTGGATCATTTAATTTTTTAATTATTATTGACTCTTGTTATAATTTTTTTAATTTATTTAAGCAAATAAATCTATATTTTTTAAAATTTTTTAATTTTAAAAATTATTTTGTGTCTGTTTATAGTTTTTATATTAACATGGTTATAAATAGTAATCGCATAATAAAAATTTTTAAACAAAAATGTCTCAAAAAATACTAAATTTGTAAATGCTTTCCAGAAAAAAATAATTATAATTGAACAAAACAACTTTTAGAAAATAGTCTTAAAAAAAATTTGCAAAAATAAGTAGAACCCGTTGAAATGATTTAGATAAATCAATAGTCATAGATATATATCTATATATTCGATAACTTTAAATACCCATAAAGTATTAATGTCATTCATTTTTTAGGTGTCATTCTAAATGATATTGATATGTTATCTGCCGCTCATGTTTTGAACACTTGTATATACATTTATTATGCAGACAGTAATTTGTGGATGTTTTTCCGACCAGGCTGGCCTAACTATTCAAAACTTGATATGAAAGAAGAAAAATGTATATACTTAGCAATAGAAAAACAATCAATTTTTGTTGTCAATTATGTATTTTAATGAATAAATTGATAAAATAATGTTTATTTGAGATTAGATACGTCAAACTATTGACACGACTTGCGTCGCAAAAATGTGGTCGACACTGGTTTTGAGGGTAGAGACCCGTGGGCCGTTTATTAAATGAGCGACAACAGGTTATTTTAACAGAAAATAAAACAAACCGAAAAGATATAATAATAATCTTCGAAATAAGAAGTAATAAGAAGTAATAATAATCTTCGCATAATATCGCGGCACTTTCGCTGGCGTCGACGACGTGATGTCCGGCGTAATCCTTGGACGGCAAAATGGTTAGCAGCGTTGATGGCGACGGTGCGCGGGTGCGGATCGGTTGGTCGACGTTGTCGCTTTCGCGACGGGAGGAAGACTCTCGCACCATTTGTGGCGGGTCCTCGTCGGCCGTGCGGCACTCGCTGGACTTTTCACCGTAGCGTATAACACGCGGCGTTGGTCAGTCAAATACTCATCATAAAATAGAGCGACGGCCGATAAAGGTGGCACGAGTCGCGGGGCATCGTGTATAACGAAGCGACGCGGGCCGTGTCACTATATGCAATTTTATTATTCTAAAATGTGTTAGCATTTTTATTTTTAATTTTAACATACTGGCTATCATCATCTCGATAAAATACTAAAATAACATACAGCAAAAATAATTTATCATTCAGTTATTTATCTAATTTATTGTTATCTATTACGGTGACACTGTTGTAATAGATAACAATAAAAGCAATACGGTCGAATTATGTAATATATTTAAATAAAGTCATTGAATAATAGATTCTTCTTATGTCAAAATTTTTATCAAATGTCAATATTTCGAACTATACTAAATTTTTCTAGAAATTATGTTTTATTTTTTAGCTTCGATGCGAAGCTAAGAACGTTAGTTCTATTAAATTTACTGTAACGTGTTTTTTTTTNTATAATGTGTTTTTTTTATGTCTATCATTACTTTTTCTCAACTCATTTAGAAATTATTTTTTTTTTTAGAGATATATAGGTCAAAAGTTTAAAAATCGTATTTAGTTGAAAGCGTTATCCGCAAATATTAAAATAATTTTCTTGTTTCCTCTTTTTTTGAAGGAAAAAAAAGTTTAAAAATTACCATTTTTTAAATCGGAAAATTTTGAAATTTATTATACTATCTTAAATTAAAACTGCAATAACCTTAAAATTAAATTGAATGAATCAAAACTATTTTTGAAGTGAAACTACTTACAAAGGGTTTAATTAAATTAATAATTAAATTCTACAAGACTGTAATGAGACCAGCTATGATGTATGGTTCAGAGAGTTGGGCGGTTGATAAGAAAGTAGAGCAGAGAATGAGTGTAGCAGAGATGAGAAATCTTAGGTAGATGAGTGGAGTGACTAGAGAAGATAAGATAAGAAATGAGCATATAAGAGGGAGTATAGGTGTAGCGTCAATCGTGGATAAGATGAGAGAAAATAGACTTAGATGGTTTGGTCATATTATGAGAAGAGAAGAATCGGAAGCTGTAAGAAAAGTTATAGAAATGAATGTTCAAGGAAGAAGATATAGAGGAAGACCAAAAAAGAGATGGAGGGAATGCGATATGAGGACAGTTGATGTAAGCCTAGATGATGTGGGAGATCGTGTCAAGTGGAAGTTTGGNTTTTTTTTTGAAGGAAAAAAAAGTTTAAAAATTACCATTTTTTAAATCGGAAAATTTTGAAATTTATTATACTATCTTTTAAATTAAAACTGCAATAACCTTAAAATTAAATCGAATGAATCAAAACTATTTTTGAAGTGAAACTACTTACAAAGGGTTTAATTAAATTAATAATTAAATTCTACCAGACTGTAATGAGACCAGCTATGACGTATGGTTCAGAGAGTCGGGCGGTTGATAAGAAAGTAGAGCGGAGAATGAGTGTAGCAGAGATGAGAATGCTTAGTTGGATGAGTGGAGTGACTGGAGAAGATAAGATAAGAAATGAGCATATAAGAGGGAGTATAGGTGTGTAGCGTCGTCAATCGTGGATGAGACGAGAGAAAATAGACTTGGATGGTTTGGTCATATTATGAGAAGAGAAGAATCGGCGGAAGCTGTAAGAAAAGTTATAGAAATGAATGTTCAAGGAAGAAGATATAGAGGAAGACCAAAAAAGAGATGGAGGGAATGCGATATGAGGACAGTTGATGTAAGCCTAGATGATGTGGGAGATCGTGTCAAGTGGAAGTTTGGGATAAAGGTGGCCGACCCCAAGTAGTTTAGATTAAGGCGAGGAAGAAGAAAAAAATTTAAACAATATTGACACGCACAAACCAAAATTATATCTTACTAAAATCTGCGCGCGTTGACTTAATAAAAACTCATAACTCAGTAAAAAACCAACAATTTTAACAGAATTTTCAGGGTACATTTGAAGTATCTCTAAGTAGACTTGGTAAAAATTTCAGATTAATTATTAAAATCATGATGTTTTTTGACAACTAGTTTTATTTTAATATTCTTGAGTTCCTACAAAAAAAGAAAAAATATATATTTTCAATTAAATAAAAAGTTTATTTTAAATTACTTGAATTGCACTGAAATAATTGGTTTATTTTATTTAGTCAATTTTGAGTGATCATTAGTGATTCAAAAGATTTTTGTAAATTGTGAAAGATTTCTCTACATCAACTGATGTATTAGGAGCAAATTTATAAAAATTAAAATCATTAAAGTTTAAGTCTTCAAATATGCCTTCTATGTCAGTACTTGTTTCATTATTAATTTTAGATATTTGTTTGGTTGTAGTTAAATCATTATTTTTAGTGTTTCGGATAAGGGTAGTCGTCATAATGGGGAGGAACGAGAAGAGTACGCTTTTTAAAAATCTAGACGCAGAATGATCGACAATAACTACGCTAAAGTAGACAATATTTTATGTTTAATTTCGTTTTTATTGTAGTCTATTATATTATAGTATTATACTTCGTATTTTTATATTGTAGGATAATAGTTTTTTATTTTTGAAACGCCAGAATAAAAATTTCAATTATAGTAGTTATCTCGATAAATGTATTACATACACTCTCAAAAAATATTCTCTTTTTTAACTCGTTATTTGTAAAAATAAACAACAGGACTTCGTTGTAACGCTCATATTTATTTGAAAATAAATATTCCAATACATTTTGGATCGTGAAAAGTCGACGATCGGGATAAGATGATGTTTGATTTAAAAACAATTATAGTAACGTTTGCGCATTTTTTCAAACGAGAAATATGTTTAAATATTTCAACCAGATAATGATGAAACTTTCGAAAAATAATTTAAATGTATACTCGTGTTGGTTTTAAACCGCACTCATACCTATTCCAAAGAACAATATAATTATGGTTATTTCACGACATTAGGTGGTATTTACTACGTGACTAAATAGTTTAAGTTTATTTTTACCGCAATAGCTAAAGATCAAAAAAAAACCCAGCACAAGGGGGTCGCGGCACAGTGGTGACGTAGCATAGGTGGATCAAATATAATGATATCTGACAGTAATTAAAATCACTATAAAAAAAAACGCTTCGATGCAAATCTTTAGATAGTGTTTAAATTTAAAAAATTGTTGGATTATTCCAAAAGCTAAATGATCTACTAGTTCCTTATTAATGTCTTGATTAAGATATAGTATGTCGAATGAAAAAGGAATTATTAAAAAATATTATTTCTCATAAAAAAATTGTGCTGTCTAATACACTTTTCAATAAGTTATAGCATTATAAAGTAAAAAAAGTAAAATATAAAATCGAGAATTTTCACACAAAAATAGCATTTGGTAGCCATTTTAACCACGAAGACAAGTCCAGAGGTCATATTTTTTTTTTCATAATAAAGTACATTACATTAGCTTTAATTTAAGATACATATATAAGTGTCAGTATTTCCGGAACACTTTTAAAAGTTATGTTGAAAAAGTTAATTTTTTGTGAAAAAGTTGTCATTTTGAATCCCCTCCTGTGGGCTGGTAAAGGGTTAAATTTATAAAAAAAATACATCAAGCATCTATAAAAAATATATATATATATTGATATGTTCATTTTTGAAAAAGTTATGGCAGTTTTTAATAAAAAAAGTTGAAAAAATTTCGAAAATTAGCGATTTTTAAATTTGTTATTTTTTTGGTGGTTTCCCCAATTTACGGGGAAATTTTTTCAATTTTTGAGGGTAATATCTTCGACTAAATACGATTTGTGATCTTTTAACGTATCGTTGAAAGAAATCGGTTCAGTGAGATCTGAGAAAAAATGGTAACAGACAAAAAAAAAAATCACATAATAGTAAAACCAATACCTTCTCAGCTACGCATCGAAGCTAATATTTGACATTTTTTTTTTTTTTTTTTTTT